TTATCAGGATTGATATTGGAGATCTCTCTGCTAAAATCATAACAGATGAGAAATTCTTGCCTTACTGATAACATTTTTCCTCTTTTGCTTTTTTCTTTCTTGATTTTTCAATGTATTTGATATTCACTGTATCCATAGTCCCCCAACTTGCTACAGAAAAGAGGGAAATAGGTTTAATTATCTGTTCCCTGAGGCCAAGTTTGGTCATATTTTCAGCTTAATATAAGTTTTTTTTTAACAAAAACTTTTATGTCATCAACAGCCTTGTCATCTTCATTGAATTATCATTTTCATAACAAAAGTGTTGAGGGCCTTAAAACTGTGGATACTCTCTAAGCAAGAATGATTCTGGCATTTTAATCAAAAGAGCAATCATGTATTGAATAACGATGATATGCTTCAATACTCTGAAGGAGCTGTGATCTCTTTGATGTCACTTATTACTCCACTGATACCTCTTGCCACTTCTCTACGGATAGCTTCTTTCAAAAGTCAAGAGAACCTCTTCTACCTTCCTGATTCTGACAAATAAATAAGAAGAAACTGATTGTTGAAATAAAATTGATGAAGATCTTGGGAGGCAGTGACAACACCCTCCTAGTATTCATAGACAAAGAAATGAAAGTGAGACCATTTCTCATTGTGTCATACATTTTTAGACAATGAATGTCAAAGATTTCAGAGAATCCATAGATAGCCTCCCATGCTCCATAATTCTACTAGGAAAATTCAATCAATGGAGATGAAATGCACTCTAAAAAGAAAACCACAATTATAATGAAGAAGAAAAGGAGAGAAGTTGTTTAAAAGATAAACATGGGCTCAGATTCTTATAATCTAGCTGCTAGTTCATTAACATTCAGACTCCTTAAGAGTCTGCCCAACATGACAGATGTTCTGATAAACCTTGTCTTTGGCTAAAAGAAGGTTTGGGTTGAATTCTTTCAGGCAATACCCACATGTTGTGATTTTGGGGTCCTAGCACCCCTAAACACCTAAACCTCAACATTTTGGTGGCCTATAAGGGGAAACTGTCTAACCCCAAATTCTTCTCCAACAAAGACTGGAGAGTATGTAAGCCTTCCCCACACCCCTTTTCTTTCTCTGCAGTGGGGGGGTCACTCTCCAAGCATCAAGGCTTGGAGATGCTTTTCAGGCAGACAGTTGCGAGGCTGTCTTACAATCAGCCTGATGTTCTCAGGCTCTTGGTCCACTGGGTCAGTTCAAGGCCATGGACCTGGGTACACCTTCCACAGCATAGAGGACAACGATGCGTGCCCTATCGAGAAGTGTATGCCCAATTCTGTCAATTCTCTCAATGCTAAGGAATTAGGGAAAACTGCAGTTGCTTTTTGGTTCCCTGAGACTTACTTACTCCCTTCTCTCTACACCCCTGAATCTTCCTTCATGGAGGTTACAGGGAAAAGTTAGAACAGCTAAAAATATCTTGGCAGATTCTGGAGGTTTTGTGATTGATCATTAAGGAATTTTGAAACTCCTCCTTACAAACCTGGTCACTCTTTTCTTCCACTCTGTTCCCTTGAGTCAAGAGGGTATGTTAACCCCTCTCGTAGGAGAAGAGAGTTTCACCATTTACCCCTCACCTTTGATTTCTCCTTCTCCCACCTGGGAAAGGAAGGAGGGGAAAGGGGCAGCAGCTACAGCCTGGGGTCCTGCTGACAATGCCCTTGGGCCCTAGGGCAACCTTCGCCTGGGAGCATCACTCAGGTTCAGCACATCCTGCTCAAGGTAAAGAAGCTGGCCTCTGAACTTGGGTAAACACGCTCTTTTTAAAGTTGTAGTTTTAACTGTTAATGATGAGATGTTGATTCTCTGTATAAAGTAATTTGGAAATGAATTTAACAAAATTGAAGTCACCTGATTGGTAATGGGTTTGTTTCAAGTTTTAAATTGGTGAACTTTTTGTATCAGTTATGTCAAGCAACTTTTCATAATTTGGTTACCATTAAAACAATTTGGTTATTGTTGGTTATTGTTTTAATGTGTAAACTAGCCAAAAAAGCTTGTTTGGGTTATGGCTAATGAGAATTTGCAAGTGTATAGAAATCTCTAATGATTGGCTTTTTGCACCAGCACAAATTTAAGTTTGAGATGTAAATCCTAGAAAAGTTTTCTAAAGCTGTGATTAGTGAAACTTGCTGTGTGAGATAAAAAAAAAAAGCTCATAGATTTTTATTTTGAGTTGTCTGATGGGTCATATTCCATCGATAATCAATAATCCACCATCTGAGAGAAATGCCACAAGCTACTCAGAGAATGTGATACTGGTGGGAAGTCAGCATTAGCAAAAGCTGAGAGGATAATTTTAGCCTCAGTCTAAGATGGAATTCTCCTGGCTCAGTTTCCCCATTATGCTCCTTTGAAAGGCAATGTGACCCACCTGGCTATTCCTGAGTCTGGTTATGAGGTGGATTTGATACTGCATAGTTGGAAAACTGAATTATCTGAATCCAAACAGAGCTAAGGATGTTTTATCCTCTCATATTTGGACCCTAAATCTAGTCCCTATTTTATATCTGGACCCTGCAGTCCTCTCTGTCAGATTTGTGTCTTCCAGACTACAGGCCATTCACCTACAGTTGGTAGCAAACGAGTACCAGCAAATGTCCCACCTATCAGTTCCCTGGATGCAGCTTGTGCTTGGTTCCAGTCAACATCCTCTTTGGGACTCCCTCAAGGCAGGGACAGCTCTATGCCCCTTGCCAGCAGGAAGTAGTTTCAGAGGCCAATACCTTCGCCTCTTACCCCAAAAGAATTTGGGTTCCATTTGTTTGAGGGAGAAATGATGAGGATGGGATCTAGACCCCAAAAAGGAAACACCCTGGACTTTCCCACATGGCCAAATCTCTGGTGTTTGCCTGAGGCTATAATCCCATCAACTGGCCTTTCATTGTGGCTACACCCAATCTCCCAACTCTGTTACCCTTAACCTAGCCTAGACCTCCATTGTGTTACCTCACTATGGCCCCAGGCCACTTCCCATCCATAATCCTGTCTATGCTCCATTCTCTCTTGGTCCAGGTCCCTGGAATTTTATTACCTCATAGACTACTTGGCCACTCCTAGATCCCACCCATAGTCTTTCTGTATATAAGGTCCATCTTGTCTCCATTAAAGTACTCAGATTCTTATAATCTAGCCAATAGCTCACTAACATTCAGACTCCTTAAGAGTCTGCCCAATATGACGGATGTTCTAATAAACCTTGTCTTTGGCTGAAAAAAAAAGATAAACATGGCTACACAGGGTACTCATTTCCCCATTTAGCTTTTCCACAGGTATTTATAAAAGATGGAAGAATCTGGTAAGTAAAAATGAATACAAAAGAAGGTCAACATCAAACCAGGATGATTTTAGTGTCACTGAGATGAAACTGATGATGAATTCTCAACACAATCATAAAGAGCTTTCTACTTTTTATAAATACATTTAACACAAAAAAAAGCTCAAAGAAAGAAGGGGACCACTTCTCAGAATGAATGGAATGGAGGTAAGAGAAGACAGAACTACAACTAGGTCCCAATTAGTGTGAATAAGGAATCTAGTGAAGTGTCACATCATTCAAATTTGCATTGTGTATTTCAATTAGGCTGGAACAAATGATCATTAAAAGACATAATGATAATTTCAAATGATATGAAGATATTTCTGTTGTGGTATTAGAACATGGCAATAAGGCACAGAAATGGTTAACAAAGAATGGAAGCCCATGTAAGATGGTAATTAGAGAGTTTCTGAGTATCTTAATAAACAGAAGTCAACTGACATGGATTAACATCTCAGGGTACTAAAAACAAACAAAGAAACAAATGATGACTTTGATGACTTATTGCTAAGCCACTGATAGTGATCTCTGAAAAATAATGGTGAATGAGAGGAGCTACTGGTCTGGAAATGGACGTGTGACCCCATATTTTTTCAGGGAAGGTCAGGGACACTTCATAACCATTTGCCAATGAGCTAGACTTCAATTATCAACACAATTCTACTAAACATTACTAAGGTATACAATCCCTCCCCGTCTGACTTTTTTTTTTGTGGTCCAGACCCAAGCTGTCAAGGTGTAGTAAAATCTCAGTGAGGAATTCCCTCTACCAGTGAAAATTTGAATTCTCTACAGTTATGTGTTAGAGAGTTTCCTGGGGATCTTTGAATGACTTGTTCAGGGTCACACAATCGATATGTGTCACAGGTAAGACTTGAATCCAGGTCTTCCTAACTTCAAGACAGGGTCTCTATTCACTATAAAATGCTATCTCTAACTTTGATAATAACAAGTACTTAAAAATATTTGTGATAATGAGTTGAAAGGATGAGTGACTGATTTGTGAGCATCTAACAAGGGCAGTTTGATCACTTCGAGCCACCATGGTTTGTGATGACTGGCATGAAGCCATAGACTGCATGTTCGTCAAATTTGGAGATAACTCAAAGTCAAGAAGGATAGCTATTGCCTTTGGATGACTATAAACAAAGCCAATGGCCAAATCAGATCCACAAAAATCTTTAAAGGGCAGAACAGATAGAATATAATAAAATGAAATTTCATAGTTTCACATGTTGTGTCAATGCAATAGAATGAAACTCCATGAGAGCAGGGACTATTCTTTCTTTTGTCTTTGTGTTGCAAGAGTCCAGTGATACACTAATCAGCCCTGGACAAATGCTTATTAGATTGGATTGGATCAGATGAGCATTCAAAAAATGTTAAGTCCCGTAGTTGAATTCAAAATAGCAGTAAGTATAAGACATATTAATGCACACATACACACGATTTTTGGGGGGAAAAAAGACATAGGGCATTTAGTAGACTGAAAACTTCATATAAGTCAGCAATGTGACGTGAGCTTGGTGTGACAGAAAAAAAGGCCACAGTAGTCTCCAACTACATTATAATTAATTAAAAATCAATAATAATAACAACAATTAATAATAATTACCAACATTTACATAGCACTTCAAGGTTTGACTGGCACTTTATATACATCATACTACTATGAGGTAAGAGCTATTATTATCCCCCTTTTACAGATAAGCAAACTGAGGTTTGGAGAAGTTGGCTTGCCCAGTATGTTATCGAAGAGATTTTTGACCAGATAGAGTTTGGACAACATAGCTTCTGTGTCCCACTTTGACTCTGAGATTCTGGGATTCTCTTCTCAAAATATATTCCTATTATAAGTTATTGAGGCAGTTGTAACAGCCATATCTGCTGTCTCCTTGCTAGCTCCCCATCCAATACCTTTCTGTTACCTCTCTTTCATTACATGCATACCTGACTTCTTCTTCTTCCATGCTATGAAGGCCCCAGCACAGCTCAGCAGTAGAATGACAGCCAACATAACGCCCAGTGCCAGGACCCAAGGCTTCTCCCTTGTGGGCTTTTCAGGGACTATACAGATAAAGGTTAGAATATAAATGTGGCTACATTCAATGAAAGAAGAGGGAAGGCAATGGAACTCCACTCTGGGACCTGGTCTCGTTGGGGATGTGATGACAACACCTGGATGAAGTACTAACCTGGATACACAGCAGGGGTCTTCAGCTCGATGTGTTCTGCCACACAAGTCTAACCCGTCACTGAGTCCTCTGGTGGGAGCTCTAAGGTAATTTGGAGGTAGAAGGTGGAATCTGCATTGGGCAGGGTACCACTGGAAGTCTCCTTTCCCCATACACCAAGCTTCCCATCTTTTTCCCAACGCAGTAGGATGGAGCGAGGGTAGAAGCCTGTGGCTGTGCAGGAGATAATGGTGCTGTCTTCTCGGTTGACATGGAGAGATACGGTCACCTCAGGGGGCACTGGGAGCAGAGATCAAGAAAGAAGGCCTCATGTCACAATCTCTGTGAACGTTTGATGCTTCCATTGTCTCTACCTTTACTGATGTCCCCACTCTCCTGTATGCAGCATCCTTTATCATTTTGGACCCGATAGATCCATCAGGCCCTTGAGAGTAGCATGATAGCTTATACCTATTTGTATCTCCTTGGATACCCAGAAAAGTGTTAGATAAACACTAGTTACAGAGTCAGCATCTGTTGGTGTTGATGACCACATCACCAGCAACTTTCTAAACCCTCTTCATGTAGTTTGGTCTGCTATAACAGATTAAGAACAGAATCTTCTTTAACAGGCCAATATTCCATATGATCCATAATTTCATCAGTGTGGGTCCTTTTAAAGGTAAAGATTGCAGACAGTCTATACTTACTAGGCTATCCTTCATGTATTTCTTTTGCAGCCCTCCCAAACCCCAACAAATTAAAAATTAAACATTGCCTGGTGGTCAACCTCCTGGTGATGATGTTCTACATATGGCTAGATGGCTCACTAGACAGCAGACACAAAATCTATCATTCCTGAGGCTATACATAAACTTTTCCACCTTGGTAGGACACAACAGAGTATTTTTTTAGCTTTCATAGCCTTTGAGCTCCTAGGGTCACTCTCATGCCTTGGTGAGGCAGGCAGAAGCAGATTAACTTCAGCAAAAGAAATAAAGAAAGATGGAAGGAAAGACAGAAAAAAGGGAAGGAAAGAGAAAAAAGAAAGGAGGAAAAGTAAGAAGGAGGGAAGAAAAATGACAGAGAGAAGTGAAAGAAGGAAAGAAATAAGAAGTAGAAAGAAAAGAAAGAGGGAAAGGACAAAAAGAAAGAAGGAAAGGAAGATAAGTATGAAAAGAAGGAAGGGCGGCAAGTGAAAAAGAAAAAAATGAGAAAAGAAAGGAAGAGCAAAGAAAGAAGGAAAAAAGAAATAATCTCAACCTTTCTCACATTCTCTGATTCTCCCATTATAGATTGGATGTAAGCAATGGTTAGAAGCTATGGATCCTGCATGTTTCTCTAGGGCTTCAGTTATTACACAGAATGATAGGGGTGACCTGGACCTCCTGGGAGGAGATGGGAAGCAGCAAACACTCACCATTATCCCTTAAGCTTGAGTAGCCAACGATTTTCCTCAGCAGGTCAACACAATATTGATTCGTGTAGCGTTTCCTTAGATCAGTCCAGAAGGGGCTGACTAGAATGAACTCATATTTCTTGAATTCAGGCTTCAAGTTCCCCCAGTGCCCAACTTCTTCATCTATCCTGTAATATTCCTCTCCATCCCAAATTAAATGGACATGGCTCTTCACCTTGATGTCATTGTCTATTTCACAGTCTGCAAGGAGCTGCCCTGTGTGGTTTCCTGTGGAGGGACATTGGGATGGCCTCTTCTGGGACTGGTGAAGAGAGAGAGATCAGTAACTAGGATCAACTGCAGCCTATCTCTAAACTGTGGGCATAATGAGGGCATAGGGACCTCATCCTCTGAGTACAGGTTAATTGATTAAGAAAGTTTGGAACATAGTGAAAATTCTTGGGCTGAAGGCGGTGGTGTCTTAGAAGGATTATAGAAGGGGATGGTGACCCAGGATTTTGAACCAAGTGGATGAAGTTTAAGGTTCAGGGATGGATTCTTTGATGCTCTTTCTCAAGGTTAGTAAATAACAATGTACTAGGACCAAGGACATCCATTTCAGTGTATGATCTACTGAGGATGGATCTATTGGACTTGGAAGAGAAATAGACAAGGTAGGATGAAAAGAGGGAGGGGGAGATGAGTGAATCTGACTTACTGTTATCATTAGTGTCATTCTTTGGTAAGTATTGGAAGATCCAGCGGACATGTTGGTCATGGTACACGAATAAATTATGCATCTGAGTGATGTAATCAACTCCCACTGCATAAGAGACCCAGGGTATCTTGGAAATAACTTGCTGGTCTGTATTGTTATAGGATTCCACTTCAATATCATCCATGAAGCTAATTTCCCTTAGTTCCAAGAGAGAGAGGGTTGTGCCCACTGCAGTGAACTGAGCCACATGCTTGTGGTGTACTGAATTATTGGAAGGAAGGGAAGAAGAGAACATGGTGTTTCAGGTTACCAGAGGACCAGTGTTTTCCCTAATTCATTCCTTTGCCCTTCCTCTGCCCTCCCTATCAGTAAGGGCAACTATACAAATGACTCCAAAGTCTAAATAGCCAACTCTCTTTCTCACTCTTTCTTTGTCTCTCTGTCTGTCTCTCTTTCTCCCTCTGTCTCTGTCTCTCTCTGTCTCTCTCTGTCTCTGTCTCTGTCTCTGTCTCTCTCTCTCTTTCTCTACCTCCCTCTCTCTCTCTCTCCAAGCATCACCAGCTAAGTGGTGCAATGTATAGGATGTAGTGGATAAAGTACCGTGATTGTAGTCAGGCAGAGCAGAGTTTAAATCGAGCAAGCACCCACTTATGCTGGGTAACCCCGGGCAAAACACTTAAGCTCTTCAGTTTTGTTATCCAGAAAACTGGTGTAGTAATGACACTTACCTCTCAGAATTCTTGTGATGATCAAATGAAACATTTGTAAAGCACTTGTTGTGGTGCCTGGCACAATGGAGGGGATTAATAAATGCTTATTTGACCAAAAAAACCTTTCTTTTGTACATCTCCAATTAGATTGGCTATAGGTAGCTGAAAGATAACATGTCAAAAACAGAACTCATCATCATTCCTTCTAAACCCACTTGTTTTCCTAACTTTCTATTTCTGTCAAGAACACCACTAGTATTCCAATGACTCAGGTTTGTAATCTCAGACTCATCCTCCTATCTTCCCTCTCCCCCTTTTCCCCCAATATACGACCAGTGACCAAGGCCTATTGATTCCACCTCCACAACTTTTGTCACATCCATTTCTTTCTCTCCATTTACACATCCCCCACCCTAGCTCACCCTCATCACCTTTCAACGAGACTGTTGCAATTTCCTCCTCATTGGTTTTCCTTCTTCAGATCTCTCCCCTCTCCAATCAGTCCTCCCCAGTCTTCCCATTTTCTATTCCTAAAGGACATCACTTCTTTTCTCTAAAGAGTTCTAGTGGACTGTAACACCTCTAGAATAAAATATGAACTCTTCCAGGTAATGACATTCAGCACCATTCACAGCCTGCATCCAGCCTACCTTTGGAGGCTTATTTCACAGTCCTTGCATTCATGCATTCAACATTTCAGCCAATCTGGCCCACTTACCAATCTTCACACCCACCATTCCATCCTGCAGATCTTTGCTGAGGCTGTCTGCCTAGTCTGGGATGTGATCTTTCATCATCTCCAGCTTGGAGAATCCCCAACTTTCTCTAAACTACAACTCCAGATCCACCTCCTACAGTGTTTCCCCTAATTCCTATAGCTGCTAGTGCCCTGCTCCAATGAGAATTTGATTTGTATTTACTTATACATATAATTATTTACTTCCAATCATATGTAAGTTTCTGTCACACAGTAGGGAATTTATGTGGAATGATAGAAAGAGCATTGACTTTGAAATTAGAAGAACTAGGTTTGAATCCCATTTCTAATACTAATTGAGTGACTTTTGGAAAGTCACACAAGTTCTTTGGGCCTCAGTTTCCAAATCTGTAAAATGACAAGGCAGGACCATATGACCTTATAGGAACCTCATTGTTCTCCTATACATGCCATTCTCTTCACTCACACAACCCTGACCCTTACTTGGGCCCTCTTACCTCTCACCTACAACAGCCTCCTCACTGATCTCCCTACCTCAAGCTTCTTCCCTCTTCCATCCATCCTTCCCTCAGCTGCCAATATGATTTTTCTAAAGCACTACTCATACTATCTCACTCTCCTAGTTAATAAACTCCAACATCTCTCTTTTATCTCCATGATAAAGTTCTTTGCTCAGTATTTAAAACCTTTCAGAGGGTGGATACTTCCAGTCATTGTAATTGAGAATATTACACTTTACTCCCCTCCACTCATCTGACTACCCAATAGCAGCTTACTGGCTGTTCCCCACACTTGCACTTTACCGCCCACCCCCCACCTTTGTCCTGAACGTTCCCTGAGCCTGGAATGTTCTCCATCCTTACCTCCACCTCCTGGCCTCCATGGACTCCTTCAAGTCTCAGATAAAATGCCATCTTCAGGAAGTCTTTGCAGGTGCCCACAATTGCCAGAGCTTTCCTCTCCAAAGCTCCCTTTCGTCTACTCTGTAGGTATCTTGTAGGCATCTTTTAGTTTACTTTCTGTCTCCCCCATTAGAGTGCGAGCTCCTTAGAGGCAGGGACCAGGTTTTATTTGATTTATCTTTTGGTATCCCTACCACTTAGAGCACTAGTTGGCTGCAGCATACAAATTGTTCAATAAAGGCTTGTTGACTGACTGACTGCCTGGGTTACCTGAAGCCCCTTGAGCAAAGTGACTGAGTTTCTCCCATCAGACACAAATCTCCATGGTCTTTCCTCTCTCTACCTGACCTCTTTTCCCCTACACTTACCTGCTTGGGTCTCTCTCAAAGAAAATACCCCCAGAATGAGAATCCGGGCTGAGGAGAACCATCTCCTCCTCCTCTGATACTCCATGAGGATTTAGGCCCTGCGTCCTGTGTCCCAGGCACTGCCTAAATGGGAACTGAGGCCTCCTATGTACATATCATGGCTCCCTACTTCTATCCCCACCCAGACTTGGGTTGACTCTTCTGAAGCCCTGCCCCCCTCTCATCATCACCAGTCATGCCTGTTATGAGGCAAACACTTTACCTGCCTAGCAGATATGAGAGAGGAAGTGAAACCGAGTTTGTAGTGAGGTCAGGGCACCTCAGAGCACAGTCATCACCAAGTACTGTCTCAGAGGCCCAGAGATGGGCTGGTTCAACAATGACCACCCAGCTGTCTTCCTAATTTTCATTGAACCTAGAAATTCTTAGATCTGAAAGGATCACCAGGGAGACTTCATTCTGGAGGAGAGATGTAGGGAACAGATCCCATTCCCCCTTTCCTCATACTGCCCTCAGGGAGCCCCTGGTCTAATGGGAAGGTAAAATCCCTGTCCTCAGGGAGCCCCTGACTTTATGGGGCAGATTTTAATGGAGCTACCAGTCTGAAAGTGTGCTATTAACTATAATAACAGTGAATATTTCCCTTTAACGCTGGCAAATGATTTCATACATATTATTATCCCATTTGGTCCTCATAACAATGCTGTGAAGTAGGCATTATGGTTATCCTAGTTTTTCAGATAAGGAAACTGAGGCTGAGAGGGATTAAGTAACTTCCCCAGGGTGACACCACTAGTGACAGTCTGAGGAATTGACAGAGAGGTCACCCTGCCTTTGTCGCCATTCCTGACAGTGCTCTACACTGCCTTTCAATGCTGATTAGTGCTATCTCCTCTCCATGTGGCCTGCAGAATGCTGGGTTCTTTTCCAGAATTCAGGCACTGAATCTTAGCTGGCACCTACTACTGTTTGTAGACTCACCATGTGGATGTCTGACTTCCTCCATTGTGACTGTGCGGCGTGCCACCCTGGCTCATCCCTGACTCAGTCTGTGCATCACCAGCACACAGCACATCACTTTTCACATAGCGTGTGCTCATTAATTTTGATTGAGTGAACACGTACAGTGTAAAATCTGTGGGGTCATGGCAGATGGCTCATGAGCAAAAAGCCACCTACTGACTTTCCAGAGTCCAAGGCACACCTAATTATCTTTCTCCCCAAACCCTCCCAGTCTCATTATCACTGCTGAAGGCTCTTCTATCCTCCAAGTCCCCCAAGCTGTCAGCCTCAGGTTCATCCTTGACTCCTCCCTGGCATTCATCCCACATCTCCAATCTATTGTCAATACTGGCCATTTCTACCTTCTTTATGGCTCATATGAATCCTCTTCTCTCCTCCATATACCCACAACCCTTAAAAAGTTCCTTATCACCTCTCACCTAGATGACTACAGAAGCCTTCTCATTGACCTTTCTGCCTCAAGTCTCTCCCCACTACAACCCATCCTTCACACAAGTTCTACCCACTCACTTCTGAGTCTCTAGGAGCGAGGAGTGACAACCACTTGTCAGTGCATTATATTTGGGATTCTTCTACAAGTTTGGCTTGGTCTAGGTGGTAATTGAGTCTCCTTCTAAATCTGAAAGTCTATGATTCTATACAAGGAGGAGTGAACCTGAGGAGTCCTGTTTATAGCAGAGTAGTGCACCTGTGGAGGGCCTGGTGTCCCAGGATATTACTGGATAATTTCCTCTATGGGTCTATACTTGTGATCCTATATTTTTTCTAGGTCCCTGTGAAAGCTTCCTAAGCCAGTACATGATCCATGTTGCCTGAGTTCTTCACCAGATGACACCAATTAGCCTAGAAAAGAGAGAATGACTCTGGCAATGCTAGTTAGAGTGAAGGTTTTAACCGAACCTTTGGAGTTCTTCTCTATATATTGCCTGGGACATGCCTTTATCAGACAAAGGTCACAGGACTTTTCCATTATGAGATCAGAGTAAGTAGACACTTTGTGTGCTGAAGAAATAGATCTGAGTTAATTCTTTTCATTTGTATAAGTAGTATCACAGTTTACTATGGAGTTATTTTAACTATAAACAATTGTGAATCTATGAATCTATGTCCAGAGAGGTTCATCACAAAGTTGGGCAACTAGAATGAATTTTTTGGCCAACCAAACTCTGAAAGGTTATCTGATAACGAATTTTAGGATTATACTCTATGCCATTGGAAAAAGAACTATTATCGATTACATCAGAATCCTTGAAGCACTGAAGGAAATCTTGTTTCACCAAAAGTGTGTAAGTCTTCATAGCCACTATAGAAATGTTGGCACCAAAGTCAAAGATCAAGAATCAGCCTTCAAGATTGTGAGAAAGCAAAGTGTACTAATGCACTGTTGCTGGAGCTATGAATTGGTCCAAACATTCTAGGAAACAATTTAGAACTATGCAGATAAAGTGATTAAAATCTCCATGGCGTTGGACACAGAGATCCCCAGTGCTAGGTATGTATACTCCAATGTGATCAAAGACACAAAGAAAGCTTCCATATATTCCAAAGCTATTTTTTACCAACATTGTGGCTGCAAAGAAATATACACACCCTAGATGCCGAAGTATTAGGCATATGTTGGAATATTATTGTGCTGTAACTAACAATGAACATGAAAAATACAGAGTAATCTTTGAAGACTTATATGAATTGATCTAAAATGAAGCAAATAGAACCCGGAAAAATTAGACACAATGACTTTTGTTGTTGTTCAGTTGTTTTTCATTGTGTCCAACTCTTCCTGACCCCATTTGGGATTTTCTTGGCAAAGATACTGGAGTGGTTTGCTCTTTCCTTCTCCAACTAATTTTGCAGGTGAGGAAACTGAAGTAAATTGCATTAAGTGACTCACCTAAGGTCACACAGCTAGTAAGTGCCTGAGGTAAGGTCTCCCTGACTCCCAAGCCCAAGTCCATCACTCTGTCCTCTACACCATTTTGGAACAGAGCTGGTTTTACAGTCTGAATCTTCTTACTCTGAAACTCTCATTTTGTTGTTTCAGTTGTGTTTGACTTTGCGACCCCACCTGGAATTTTCTTGGCAAAGGTACTAGGATTGTTTACCATTTCCTTCTCCAGTTCTCTTGACAGATGAAGAAACTGAGACAAACAGGGTTAAATGACTTGTCAATGGTCACCCAGGTAGTAAGTATCTGAGGCCAGATTTGAACTCAGGTCTTCCAGACTCTAGGCCTGGTCCTCTATCTACTGTGTCAGTGCATCTGCTGTTCCTGCTGAAGGCAGAAAATATGTCCAGGAAAAAAGAGGCCCCCACATCAGCCAGACTGTTCTCTTCAGTGTCCACAAGGCCCTCTGTCCTGATGAAGCCTTTCTCAGTGTTGATGAATGTGGAGGGGCAGGTTGGCTCACTGTTAAGTCTAGGGCTTTGTATGGGAGTTTCCTTTTTGTTTACCCCACAGTGTGGTACAGTCATTTCTAGCAAATACTTGCTCAGAATAAGATGCAAATCAACTTATCTTTACCCAGAGATAAATTGATAATAAAAATAATAAATTTTAAAATAGTGATTAAAAATTTGCCAAAGCTTTACAAATGGCATCTCATTTAACACTCATAATAACCCTGTGATTAGGTGCTATTATTATGTTCATTTTACAGATGAGAAAACTGAGACAAGGTTAAGTGACTTGCACAGGGTCAAAGAGCTAGTGTAGGAGGCAGAATCTGAATTGAGGTCTTGCTGACTCCAAGGCCAGCACTCAGTCCACTGTGCACCTAGCAGCCTGTTATAAAAGGACAAACAGCAAAAACAAAACTATTTAGGGGTTAGTGATACTCATTCACCCAGTAAAATGAGTCAAGGGAGGGAAACAATGGATGACCACTAAGTCCCAGTGGAGGCAAAGTAACAAACTCCATCCTAACAGTTCACTCCTTAAGAAGATCAGTAAAACAAGGCCCAAACAGCTCATGATTCTGTTCAGTTGAAGGCAGCAGCATCCTGCACCTGCACCCCCTGACTCCTCTCCCCTCCAAGGAACACCAGAGACCCCACCCACCCCTGCCACAGATTCTACCTGCTATCATCCTTCAGTCTCTCCTTCAGTGTGGAAAAACAAAAACAAAACCTTTCTCATCAGCTCTCTTACCTGTAAGAGGTTAGCTTTTTCTTCAGAGTCGTATATTTTAGTGTTGAGAGCACCATTGGTAGGGATATTACTTAGGAAGAGGCAGGTTCTTATAAGTCACATTCCACATGGGACCACAGTTTCACTATCACAGGTTTGATTGAAAAAAAAAAACAGAAAGAACAAAAGCCTATGACTGGGATGACCTACCTTTGAGAATCTGAAAGGCTCTATAGATAATCATAAACTTCTCCCAGAAACAAACGGAATCTTTTCATCCCATTCTGCCATGAGTGTTCTGTGGCTGGAGGTCGTGGGAGAGGGCAGTCCCTGGAGGATGGAAATGATCATCACTCCTGAGACATGGGATTCATTCCCATGGTAGGTGTGAACAGGCTGCAATGTATAATAAATAAGAAACTATGAAAATCTACAAAGAAGTAAAAGATGTCATCAAGGAGCAGTTCATCAGGAAATATTTATTAAGCACCAGGTACTATGATAAGGAAATGATCAAAAAAGAAATTAGGCTGGTCACATGATGAAAACTAAGAATACCATTGGATAGCTGGTGTGCTCCACTCATGAACTCATTATCAGGAGAAATTGAGCATGTGAGGTCATTGTGGCAAACTCGGAGGAGGACATGGACAAGAGTAAGTACATGGACAAGCACGGCTGGCTTACAATCCATGTTGGTAGAAGGAACATCCACATCACCTGTAGCAGAACTCATTAACTTCAGCTCCAAACCTACACCTCTTACGAATTTTCCTATTACTGTCAAAGGCACCACTATCCTCCCACTCACCTAGGTGTTACCCTCATCTCTTCACTAGTGCTTGCCCCATGTTTATGCAATCAATTGCCAAATCTTATCATTCAACCTTCACAAGAGCTCGTGTATATCCCCCATCTTCAATACTTACCCAGCCACTCCTATAGTTCAGGCTACCAGCACCCCAAATCCTGTACCCCTTACAATACCTAAATGAGGAGGTACATATACATTAGGAGGTATATGTATATATATATA